TTTTCCATATTCAAAGAACATCCAAAAGGTTAAATATCACATTGGATTTTCTCAATACCTTAAAGTGACAGACCGGTTATGTAAGGTAGTTAAACTGAGTATGCAGTGTTGTGGACAACACTCACAGACATATAAAACGTTTCCACGATTACTGAGTTTGAGCGCAAAGTCGACTTTCAAAATCATGAATTTGTGTTGGTACGTTTTTAGAATCGGTTTTTTTTAATTGTTGAATAACGATATAGTAAAATTCTTCAGTAAACTAATTAGATTTTAGATTAGAAAATATATTTCACAAAAGAAATTTATCAATAAATCAATAAATCAATAAATCAAAGTAATAATTAATTATTTCCTTTTTCATCCTTTTATTGAATTTCTGAAAACACCCAAAAGTACGGTTTTGAATGTCGACTTTGTGCTCAAACTCAGATTTACAAATCTTCAAAAAGTTTTATATGTCTCAAATGAATCCTAAGGAATTTGTCCAGAACACTGCATACTCAGTTCAACTACCCTACATAGCCGGTCTGTCCCTTTAAGGCCAATATTTCTAGAAAACAATACAAAAGTACTTTAATTTCAAAAATGATTATGTCTAAGGATATAAAAAAGTATAAGTGAGTTAGTGCCAGTGGCCCCATCCCAAATTTAGGTGTATGCAAAGTTTAATATAATGAGGGGGCACCCTCTCACTGTGATTTGAAGGTCTGAAGCTCTAAAGCAAAACCAAAGGTAACAACAACTGCTTTATTATGCTGAATTGTATATTTGAAGGGCTACCATGAAATTCATAAGTGAGTTAGAGCGGTAAAATCAAAGCCAAAGGCGTTGCGACACTTCAAAGTCGATTCTGCGATAAAAAATGTATGAGATTTTACCAGCAGGCTGAATCTATGTGCTCTCTAATTCCGTCAAGTATTTTCTCGCGTCATTTTTTTATAAATAAATCCATAAAAATACTTAAATAAAAATAACCGTGTGACCTTCAAAAATCTTATGTTACAAGAAACATAAAAATGTCGCTGCGACATACTTTCATTTTTTACTTTGTCACGTTACTGTTGTACTTTAAAAAGTGAAAATGATTGAAAGTGATTTTATTTCTTAATATAGCGTCTTGAAAGAAATCCATTCATCTGTGTCGAAACATGAAGGAAAATATGGTCTAACAAAAATAATTTCTCAAAAGCTTATTTTATTCTGTTAGCTGTAAAAACACAAATCAACATATTTTTTTTTGTGTGAAATCTTATTTTGAATATATATAATGTACTTTTACAACAGAATTTTCACATGTACACTGTCCGAGGGGTGAATCTGAACTAATCTGACAAAAGTGAAATTCTGACCGTATGTTGGACACGGTATAGATAGATAGAATATGTCATTTTTGTGTGTCCAACGATTTTCGTGAAAAGTAAAAGATACTTTATGGACAACTTAACGTGAACTTTACTTAATTAATTGTCTTTTTTCCTCTTATGGTGGATGGTACCCTTCCCTACAGCTTTAAACTTTTCCTGTCTGCGTTAAACCCTTTAAAAACTTACGAACTAAAAATAAAAGAGGTGGTTGATCGAGTTGATCTCTTGATATTGGTATTTTGTTCCACTAATTACTTTCCAAGACTGTATTTGTCTTGTTTCTTGCACTCAGTGTTCCCTGGACCTTAAAATTGTTTCTTATGCCCGTTGAATTGTGAAAATACCTTTTTTATGTTTATGTCACCACAGGGAATAACCATGTGTTCCCTAAAAAAATGACAGCCTATTTTGTTTAGCCAATTCGCCAGCTATAGCTAGCTTAAATATATATAGTATAGATAAATGCCTTTCATATCGTCACTGATAAAGAGTTATTATAGGTCGTCACTAAAATAGCATCTTTTAAGGGTAACCCTGCATTATTAGCCTCATGCTGATGTTTCTAGACCTTGGAAACAGTTGGATGTGGTAAAAACTTTAATTAGTCCAAGATGTAATAAACATTATCATTATTTGACTCCCATCCTCTATACCAATTCGATACAATATTTAGAAATTTAGCAATACATATTTTTCCGCATTATATATATAAATTTTAATAGAATATAATATCAAAGGTTAGGTTACTGAAATCGTGAAATCCTGCACGAAAACATTTTACAGGTCTGGACGATGCAAGATAGTTCAAGGAGTGTATCTTTCATACAAGGTGTCCCTATAAACACGGGAATTGAGACGACTTGAATATCGTCTTAGATTTCCGATAGTTGATAAATGCATCAAAAAACATTGAAAGTCTTCTGAGCTTTCCAAAATGTCTACTTTCCTCTCTTAAAAGTGGTAGACCACATTTTGGAAATCCCCAGACCAGTAGTTTTCGGTGAATTAAATGTTTTTACTATGATACTACAAATGTACGTTTGCACAATAATCCCGCGTGGAACAAAGACGATATAGAATGCGTCACTTAATTTCCGTGATTATTGTATTACGTACTCCCCCTCGAATCACCGTGTTCTGTCACGTGAGTTGCTCCTTATATGTTATTAATTTATACCTCTTGTTTTCACCATTCCCCACAATGTAAAAAAAACACGCGCGCTATACTGACACTCGCACTAGCTCAAGTGTATTTATTGTCAAAGATACTGAAGTCGTAATTTCAAGTGACCTTTCATTTATAGGATCGCATGTCCAATTCACAACGGTACCCATCAATCATTTATTTTAGCAATAGTGAGGAAGATATCGTCGTTTTTCTGTGTGAAGTGCTGAATTCTGGCAATTTCATTCTTTATCTCCTACTGCAAGGGACAGACCGGCTATGTAAGGTAGTTAAACTGAGTATGCAGTGTTGTGGACAAATTCTTTAGGATTCATTTGAGACATATAAAACTTTTCCACGATGAATAATTACCGAGTTTGAGTACATAGTCAACGTTCAAAATCATGAATTTGGGTCAGGGTACGTTTTCAGAGTCGGTCTTTTTTAAATCATTAAATAACGACGACGAAAAATAAAGTACAAATTATACATTAAACTAATTAGATGGTTAGGAACATATTTCTTAAACGAAATTTATCAATAAATCAATGCTAGAATCAATTATTTCGTTTTCATCATTATTTTGAATTTCTTATTTTCTATACATTTTTTCGCAGATTTCTACAAATTCTTCAAATGTCGTCTTTTCAATAATAATTCCCGAAATCTGCAGAAAATCTTTGTGAATAATGAGAAAATAGAAACTAATAATTTAACAACACTACTAATTTCCGATAATAACATTGATTTTTATTTTCTCAACCTGTTCCTAAACAACTAATAAGTTTACTGTAGAATTTTGTTTACATTCTTTGTCGTCGTTATTTAATAACTTAAAAAAAAATTCTGAAAACGTATCAACCCAAAAGTACGATTTTGAACGCCGACTTTGCGCTCAAGCTCAGGATTTATAATCTTTAAAAAGTTTTTTATGTCTCAAATGAATCCTAAAGCATTTGTCCACAACACTGCATACTCAGTTCAACTTCCTTACATTGCCGGTCTGTCCCTTTAATCCACTTTGTAGAGAACCAGCAACAAAAAATAATCAAATTTTAGATAGAAAGAAAGGGACAAACCCATCAGTCTAGTTCAGAAAAAGGTTTAAAGGTACCATAGTAAATCGGACATGCCACTGTATAAATGGAAGGTCCCTTTAAATTCTTCAATTTGTTATCCTAAGAAAAATTCAAAAATTGAGCACATCTTTTCAATTATCAGATTTTTAAAAGATTTTACCTTTAGGTCACAAAAATGTTAAATAACACGTGTTTGACAATTAAAAAGAAGTTCATAATAAATTCATATATGTATAATCTCATGTTTCCCTTTTAACTGTTTATTAAACATAATAAATATATAATTGTTAACAAATATAGTTCTTGTAAAATTTTAATGATATTTAGTTTATTAGAAATAAACTAGATATAAAGGTTGCATTGTAATTTTGTGATGTAATAATAGTATTGAGATTCAAGTTCTCTGTATATAGAAAAACTGAAGGCTGTAGAATCCATGCAAATTTTACCAATCTTGTTGCAAATTAGCTGAACCCACATAAGGTTATCCTGCGGCTGGTTAAAATTGAAGTGAAATGAACTAACTCCTTGTGGTGAGAAAGGCTGAATCATAAAAATAAAGAAGAAGAGTATTGATTGGTTTAAAGCAAGGTCAACTTAAGATTATTTACTAAAATCCTGTATGGAAGTCTTGAATTTATAAGACATGAAAAGATTAAGGATCTTTAGGAAGACAGGCATTAATGTAATTCTTCATGATTGAGCTGAATCTATGAGATGGCAGGTATTCCTGTAATTCTTCATGAATGAGCTGAATCTATGAGAAAGCAGGTATTCCTGTAATTCCTCATATGAATGAGCTGAATCTATGAGAAGGCAGGTATTCCTGTAATTCCTCATAAATGAGCTGAATCTAAGAGAAGGCAGGTATTCCTGTAATTCCTCATAAATGAGCTGAATCTATGAGAAGGCAGGTATTCCTGTAATTCCTCATGAATGAGCTGAATCTATGAGAAGGCAGGTATTCCTGTAATTCCTCATGAATGGGCTGAATCTATGAGAAGGCAGGTATTCCTGTAATTCCTCTACCAATTATGAGCGCATGAATATCATGAGTTCCCTCGTAAGTGTTCACAGCTTCCAGGTTCATTACATGCCTACAATACAATACAATACAATATAATACAATACAAAACAATTACAAGCCAATGTTATACAGGGTGTCCCAATAAACATGGGAATTCAGTTTTGAATTTGATATCGTCTATGTTATGAATTTGGATTGTATTGTAAGAAGGATTGTATTGTAATACCTGATTTTTAAAGCCATAATATTATTATGTCTGCTAGAATTTATTTTATGAAAACGGTAAATGGCTGTAAAGATGCGGCTATAAACTCTGCAAGATAAACAGCGAAGAAGAACCAGTTTACCCTGTTTGAATACTGCTATTTTCTTGTTTTACTACAAACGTATGCAATCAAAACATAAACAAACAAATTGTAAACATGGCAGACGAAAATCTTACGGATTACAGCTTTCTCAAGGTATCACTATACTAAATCAAAGAATTATTCTAAAAGACGATATCGAATTGGTCACTGAATTCCCATGTTTATTGGAACACCCTATACAATACAACAATACCGCAATACAACAAAACAACACAACACAACACAACACAACACAACACAATACAATACAATACAATACAATACAATACAATACAATACAATACA